TCTCCCCTGTATTTGAATTGCTGAAAATCTACGAAAAAGAGGTTCGTTTGTTGTGTATGTAGAAGAAGGATAGTTCCTGACAGTATTTAGATTTAAAAACAAGTGCGAAGTTGAGAAGAAGTGTATGAAGTGTTTGGAAGAGAACTTGAAAATTTCAGGGCTACTTGACCATCCAACCATGGCTTCGAGTCACTTTACTAACAATTGATGAAAGGCAATTCAATCCAAACATCAATATTGAATTTCGAAATCAAGCTGCAGCTCAGACCGATTGTTTACTCCAGTATAAAGTGGGTGTTTCCATATTCTCATCGACTTTTCTTGGGTCAAAGGTCGATGTGAGGCCTAGTTGGAGACATTGCTGATAGCAATGGCTTTATGAAACTGTGCCTAGCAGATACATGCAATTAGAAAGGCCGAGTTCTAAATGGAATTCAGAAGCACTTGGAAGCAGCACTTTTTTGACATTGATTGAGGTCTGGAAGTGAGGAGCCTTTTATAAAAGCCAGCAGCCCTCTCCTCAAACTCGTACAAATGGATTTTTTGTCCTACTCTTTTTACAGTCTCAAACCTATAGTCAAGCGGATCTCTATCTCTTGTCTGGCTCCGTCCCACAAGCAACTATTGAATGCTCGATTCAGGAATCTGCCTCATTTATTGCTTTTGTGGATCTTGACGACGTACTGATTCCAAGGTTGGCAGCAAACTACTTGGACGAGTTTGCACACCTGTTCCACTCGATGCCGAATGTCGCTTATATTCACTACATGAAGGAGAATACTAAACTAGAAGCCGGTCAGTGTTTATCCACCATACTCGTTTGACTAAACTCGTCTCCAGTATATGATTTACTATTATCCCTACTGGAGGCTGGCATACTGTTTGTACAACAAACTTCACACTTTATCCCCTTCTTTTCCCACAAATTTCTTAAAAAATTTATCCGTGTCTAAGAAACGGCAACGAGGCATGAGACAGCATTCGAACTCCCGCCACTCCGAGCTTCCTACCCTGACCGATAGACCGACGTTCCCAACCCTACCCTGTAACCTCGATCTTGTCTACATATTGTTTGTTTTGCTTATCGTCCTTTTTCCTGGAACTCAGTTGATAACATGCAATTTTTTCATTCTGCAGGTAAGGATCCTACCAAGTTCTCACTGAAACGGATGCTGTCCACCATCAAATTCCAGCAAGTCAGTGAGACAGGAAAAATGGTTGCCAATCCGCTTTACCTGAATCACACTTGGATACATCACCCACATCGTATCAAAGATGGAACGGACAGGTTAGTCAGTCGATGGCGGGCCTTTTGAATTGGTTACTAACATCGAATGAAATTGGATTCACAAAAAAGGACGTAGCAAGACTTGGCCTCCAAAAGTCAATCAATATGACAGGAATGTGCCATGCACGTGGCACCCCTTGGGGAATGTAAATTTGATTTATTGTCCAATCGAAATGGTCTCCATGCAATAGATACCCGAACATTTTAATCGAAATGGTCTCCATGCAATAGATACCCGAACATTTTCAGCTGATTTACTTTCACTTTCAGGTACACTGTTCCGAATCATTTGAATGCCATCACTCACCTTAAGCACATCGATTTGGTAGGAAGACTTATTCATCATAGGAACTGATGATCACATTGAAAACCGCGAGAGTTCAGGTTCAAGATGGTTCATCCACCAAACGCAGCAGCGCACCCGTATACAAACCCAATACACCATATGGGCTAACTGACCAACCACTGCTTTCAGAACGGGACATAGATGAGCTTCAACTTGACTTTGAAAGGTGTGAACTCGAGCTGATAACAGTAACCCGATGACGACTGAAAGTTTTGTTATCTCAGGATGTCCAGAAAACCCGAAGTTGCTCGCATATTTCCTTCTCTCCCGACGAACTTCATCTACCTGAAAACGATCGCTCAATGTTATGAGGACACCTACTACAAATTCCATTATTCAGGAAATGTCAAGCAACTAAAATGTCCTGGACCGGACCGTTGTGTAGTACGTATTACTTTCGAATGCTACAAATTTTGGGTCGAATGAAATCCGAGGTGTACATCTGCTTTTTGCCTCTGTTTGGAATCCCAGGGAAGTCCGCGGATAAAGTTTAAAAGGATAAAGTTTCTGGCGATAATCAATCTCGTCTGGCCGTTGCGGCCCGCACTCGACTTCCATTCAGAATCATAGTCGCGTGATGAGTGCATATGTAGCCTTTACAAATGACTTGCGGTGGCCAGCCGATGTACAAGTCAGTGTTTTTATCCTCCCAGACAAGTCTGGTACCGATTAGCCGACCCCGGAGAGATGGAGGGCTTGGTTGGCCTAGGCGGGCATCGATCTGGGATTTGAACCCCTGATCGTACGTGTGATATAGTGCGCCACTTGGCACTACACCACCTCCGCCCTAGGTATTCACGGATGATATGAGAAAATGCGGGTTTAAGCCAAAATATTCAGCGGGAGTGTGGGAATGAGCTGCGCATTCGTTCCGTCTGAATCTTAGTTCGGCCTAGTCCTTGCTGATGCTTAGATGAATGTGGTGGGAATCGATCCGATTCAGGGTGCAAATCCTATGTAACGCCTTCAGCTTTTGCGCTATGTCTACCCTTTTGAAGAAAAATGACAGAGTGGGAGTTGGGTTGTCGTAGCGTTTCGGTATTCTTTCACCATAAATGCTTTCTTTTTCGATAACTACCGATTATTTTTAGTTTCCTCGCCGTATTCCATGCTACAATTCGATGGCAAAGTTCCATTCTACGACCGGTGGATACTATTTTAATTTTCATTACGCGACGAAGGAATCGTTTCGGGAAGAGAATGGTTGCTTGCCCTAAGTCGTTCCTTAGGATCGTATTGAGAGGGCTTTACAATGTCCCATCACTATCGACTGACTAAATACCTTTAATAATCAGAAGTATCTTTCGAGTAGCATCGCCAACTCAATTGCCACCAGATGTCCCTGTTTGCTAGAATTTCGATGCTCTGGGTGTACTTCATATTAAAATAACTTCACGGTCTCTGTCGGGTACAAAGTTAGTTGAGATTAATAAGTCTGCAAATCCGCTGAGTGAATCGGGTTTTGTGTAATGGTGTTCTGATCATTCAAATGCCATCGTCTTAACTCCTGTCTAACGAATTTTTCATTTATAAATCTAAAAACGTCTATGTGCAATGAAGAGTCTCTACCCTTGCGACTTAAATCAGTGTCAAAAAAAATGAACATCAGAAATCCCAGCCTTATCAGAAAATATAAACGAACTGAACTTGACGAACTTATGCGGTAATTCATTAATTCCACTGAGCAACGTTAAGAATCCTACGAAATTGCAATTGAATCCTTGTCACCTACGACATCGAGTGAATAGAATGGTGCAACTTTTACAACCTCCATAACGCCGTGAGAACTCGTCCGCCTATGGTGTGTAGGTCGGCCAGGGTAACGGAACTTCTCCCCTCGCGGCATTCTCCCTTGCGGCATGCGGCAAATGCCACTGCAATTACCGTACTCACCTCGCCTCTCGCCAATCGATAGGACGCGATATTTTTCGTTGATTGCCTTGCTTTTTATTAGATTTAATCGTTTTTCTTCTGTTTCTTTTTCGTTTTCGTGTTTATTAGACTTGATTAATTAAAATGACTCCTCTTATGTAAGCGGCGA